AGCAATTATCAATGTTAGCAATTAAAATTAACGCATAAAAAATAAAGAATCCAACTAATGTTACCTTTTCGTCCCATATATGTCTGGAAGTGTGGTATGGATATAGAGTAAGTAAGGACAAATCATATTTAGCTCATCCAAAACCCTCTGGCTCGACATTCACAACAACCTCACCCTCTGAGGTGGCATTAGATCAGCAGTGAAAGGTGGGTCTAGAACAAAAGCATCATTTGTAGGAGGTGACATTGGTGAATCATGATGCCTTGCGGGAGGATAGAGGAAGTGACGTGACAGATGGTGAATCCTGTCTCCTATGAAAAAAAGAAGGTGGAGTGGCCTGATGTGAAGTACGAGCCCTAGGAGTAGAAGGCACCCCAAAAGTTGATGCCTTTGCCTGACCAGAGGTACTTGGAGCCTCTCGAACCTGCTGGCTTCACTCCCGCCAAACAGATGTGTGCTGAGAAACCCTGTCACGTCTCAGGATGTCAGCTCTATCAGCCATTATGCTTGTAAGGTAAAGTAAGACATATCATTAGTGCACACAAACAACACACACAAGCAAGAAAGTTTTTAAAAAAAAATACTGCAGGAAACTCTGGAAATGAATCTCCGGAAACACCATTAAACTAAAACGTTGAAAAATATTGGAGATGCATCTTCAGAAGCACCATTAAACTAAAATGTTGAACAATTCGAAGACACATCTGTGGAATTTCCTAAAGTATACGAAACGTTGAACAATTCCAGATATGGATCTCCGGGATGTTCTGCAATACAGAGGTCGCGTCAATGGCGAATGTACCTCATGCAACGTGACGAAAATATGATCTGATCACGAATTTTAGCCAACAAACAAGTTATACACTAAGTCAAAACTTTATTACATGTGATTCATACACATTTCTAACCCTAATCATTGATTTCTACACATTTACACTAAAACTTTAAATTTATCGAAAGCTCAACAGACTTAATTGAAATTTATGGTTTTGATGAAGTTAAATGATTTTATAGATGATGCTTGATGTTTCCTTGAGTTTCATTGAGTGTTGCTTGATGAATTTTTATTTGGTGAAGTTTAAGTGTATTAAGACGTTAAGTTGAGTTTGAAGAAAAGTGTGAAATGAGGAAGGAGAAGAGTCTGACGCGACTTATGCTTCAAAATGTTCCGGAGATATATCTGTGAAATATTTTAACATTTACTTACATTTGGATGCGTTCGGAGATATATCTCTAGAATCAGGGGGAATTTTTGGAATTTTACATGGTGCAGTAGAACTATCAAAGGTGCTATAAGAAAACCTCTAGATTTTATACAAATTTGAATCTCTACTGCCGAGCGGGAGTCCGAATTTAATTTTGTATAGGTTATGAAAGAGAAATCAGAAAATTGAAATCAAAGTGAAGAGATGAATGAAAGATATAAATGAGGAATTAACTTGCTGCCCCCTAACTTGAACCTGACACCCCCATAGTTTCATAATTTCAAAACTGCTCTTGAAATAAATTTGAAACAAATTTTCGTAAAAAATTCCTTTTTTTTTTTTTGAAATTTTTGAAAAAAATATAAAGAATTTCGAAATTTTCAAAAAAAGTTTCTAAATTTTAGAAATTTTTTACGCTGCCGGAAATTTTTCTAAATTTCCGATATTCCACCAGAAATTTCAATAGCGAAAAAAAATATTCATATTTTTTTTCGGAAATTTTGAAATTTCCGGTAAAAAAGAGAATTTTTGGTATTTTTTATTTTATTTTTTCAAAAAATTTCTTTTTTTATCAGAAATTTCAAAATTTTTGATTAAAAAAATTGAAAATTCAAAAATTTTAGGTAAAAATAGGTAAATTTTAAAAAAATTCTATCTTGACAAAAGGGTATAAAGGTAGAAGCACTCGAAATGGAAGGGATGTCAGATACAAGTGAGGGGTGACAAGTTAAATACTCGATAGAAATGATGAGAGACATAGACATATAAAACATCATGAGGGAGGGCCGTAGAGATTAGGATCCCTATCTTTTTTTATTGAGTGAAATAAAGTGAATAACAAGCTAGAGTTTGTTATAGATTTTTTTAATTTATATTTAAAAATGATTTTCATAAAAATTTATTCAATCTTGATGTGTATATTTCACCCAATCGAAAGTCTATTAGGATGAATTAGAGAACTATCGCTTATTTTTATTTATAATTGTAGTATTTCGATTTTATGTGACGTTATTGTTTATGTGAAAATCTATTATGAAGAAGAATATATTATGTTATTGCTTATGTGAAAATCTATTATGAAGAAGAATATATTATCAGGTTTCTTAAGGGATTGAATGAATGTTTTCTTCATTCCAAATCCCAGATTATGATAATTAATCCACTTCCTAATATTGACAAAGTCTTCTTTCTTATTATTCAACAAGAAAATGAGCGGCTTAGATCCACTTTCAACCCTCTCATTCCTGATAACTATGATCCCTCCACAATCTTGAAAGCAAGTTCTTCTCAAGGCAATTTTAAATTTAGGAGTGGAAGTAGGTTGGGTTGAGTTAGAATTTGTCAAACCTATGTCTGATATGTTAAAAATTTCAAAATCTAAGGTTGACTTGTAATTTATCATAAATTTATTTTTAAGCCTAAATCTGACATTTTTCAAAACTTAATTAACCTATTAGCTTACTTAAAAATCTATTTTATTTAAACATATGCAAATAAATAATTTAACTAGTGTTTAAATAGACTAACAAATCAATGAGACTAAATATATTTTTTTCATTGGCTTATTCGAGTTTACCTAAAAATATAAGTTTTCTAATACTATTTATTTAAGAGAACTTATGAAAATACGTTATAAAAACAATTTATGACGTTGTTCTTAAGATTTTTTCACATTATTCTTATAAGTTATGCAAGATAACTAAACGTTATTTTATATTTTAATTTAATATATAAAATAATATAGTAATAATAATAAAGTTACTCATATTTATTTAAATAGGTTAATTTGATATATTTAAAAATAATTTTTTAAAGCACGTGGACTTTGTTTTTTAAAACTAAATATAAACTTATAAAAAAAGCTTTATGTTTTTTCTATTTAAAAATAGTTTGCCATATCCTAGACCTATTAGTTGGCATGTCATATTTTCACTCTAACTGTGATAAACACATTTTTCATTGAAAAAGGGAGAGGTCAAAGTTTAACATATCGAATCACAAAAATTTCTACGTTGCATCTCAAATTTTAGTACATTATTTCAACCATCAATTAGTTAAATATTTATACTTATTTTATATTTTTGTCATTCTTTTACTTCTTTAAAATATAATTTTTATCATTTGATTAATTGCGTTATATTTTTTTTATCTTAATAAATGTAACTCTAATTTATATAAAACCAACGCTAAACCGATCATGTAGATATTATCAATTATTTTTAATTATAAGGTTTTGAGTAAATATGTGATGTGTTTCTCACAAAAATGTATTGATCATAAATTAAAAATCTCAACGATAAATGTTCTTTCGTGTTGATCCCTGAATTAAAACCTCAACAACAGTATCAAAAGTTTTTAACTTCCACTTAAAATGAAGTATTATGGATAAACTCACACTTGAGAGACCGTTGAAAATAACATGGCTTCTGCTTGAGGGAGAGTATTGTGGATAGACTCACACTTGAGGGAGAGTAATGAGAATAACAAGTGTAAGTGTGAATAGTATGGAGAGTTGAGTATTTATAAGTGAACGAACTCACTCACTTATAATCTTAAGATTTTGAGTGAATATATAGTGTATTTTTCATAAAGGTGTACTGCTCATAAAAGAAAAATTCCAACAATAAATACTTCTTTGTGCCATTATTGTTGATTAAGATGTTTATAAATTATGGTTGTAAATTAAGATGTTTATAAATATAAAAGTTGTGAAATATCAAGTATGCGTGTTATGAATTAATATGTTTATAAATACAAAAGTTATGAAAGAAATATGTAATGCAAGTGTGCTTTAGAATCTGTTTTAAGTGTGTTGTTGTGATTTTGTGCCATTATTGTTGATTAAGATAAATTTAAGTAAATTTGCATATCACGGCTATAGACTAATTGTGCCTTAAGTGCCAAAAAAAGGGTGATTCTTTGTAAGTGCCAAAAAAAAGGATGACGATTATTTTATTATGCCAAATGAGACATATCTAGATCATGGTCTAATTTATTGTGTCAATTTGGCGACGACAATATTATGCCAACTAAGACATATCTAGATCATAGTCTAATCACATATCATAAATGCTAACTTATTATGTATTTGTGATAGTTGTTATGTTATTCTTTTGAGGTTCGAAGTGAAGATTATATTATGTGGTATATGTGATAACTGTGACGTTATTTTTTAAGGATCGATTTAGAGTGAAGATTATATTATTATGCCAACTGAGACGATATCTAGATCATGGGTCTAATCGCATATCAATCATGCATGCCAACTTCTCATGTTGTCTTTGTGATAATTGTTATGTTATTCTTTTGAGAATCGATTTGAAGTGCTCTATATGTGTTATGTGTTTGGAACGTGCAAGATGATTGTCGTTCTCTATTTGGTCCTAAACAAGTATCACTGTTACCGTAATAGCAAATCACTCGAATTGAATTTCTTGTCATATTTAATTTTTGTTCATATGGACCAATGTAAAACCTAACATTAAGTTCTCCACTTTGAAAATTGAAAAAATAAGAAGATATTTTTATATCTAAAACATAAAAACCTTCCAAACATAATCAACTAAAAAGACACTGTACCATATTAAACGCATTAGCCAATCATAACCAACTATTTACTTACAATTCAAGATGCACTAAAATCTTCCAACGAAGAAGCAGATTCATGACCGGACTCAACAAACATAAACCAAACGATAATCAAGTTCAAATAAACTTTGAAAGACCTAACATTAAGTTCTTCTATGAATAAAACGAAATTCAACATAAATCCACTAGACATATCCTTGAAAATAATCACTCAAAAGCCCACTGGTTTTCACGACGAACTTCCTCCTCTTCCTCAGGAGTGAAGTCATTCTTAATGTTGAAGGTCCTGCGGATCTCCTCGGGTGTCTTTCCCTTGATCATGTCTGCTACAGTCTGGCATGTAAGATCAAGAAGGTTCTTGATGTTTAAATAGTTAGCAGCCTAAAAAAGAAAAATGACATATAAGTTAGTAATTATAAAGTCTTTAACATTACGCAATACTAATAAACAAAACTGCATTACATTAAGCAACACCAGCTAACACTACAAATATTAAACTCAGTAAAGCAATAAACACAGAAAGTCATTGTTTAACAAGGAAACAAGTATGTCAAAAACTGAATCCAAAAGTGATGATAGAAGAGTTAGGTTAGTTTAAAACTGAAATATAGAGACTCCCAAAAATAAAGAGACAAGTAAAACATAAAATAGATGATATTTTATCCATCCATGTTTTGTTATAGATATGTATTCCAAGTAACAACCACTGATTTATTCATCAATGGTTACTAATGCAATTACTAATTTGCTCTCTAAAGTGAGCCGCACAATTTACAGAGGAGCTTGATCCCAAACAAAGGAGGTGAACACAAAGAACATCAAACTAAACAAGCAAAAGGGACAATACAATAGAGATAAGAAAAAAAACAGGACTTGGCTGATTATTCAGCTGCTATTACTACTAGAAGTGCTCTGCCGGGCATTATTTAAAAAGAAAAGTAAGAAACAGAAAAACACAGAAGACAAAAAGAAAGATTACTTCAAAACCCTCTGTCATTTGGATAAACATCCAATCATTCGAGAAATCCTCCTTTTAAAGCTAGCCATTAAAAGCGTATAACAAAGTAACCAAAATACTTCACTGATAACCCCACAATGGATTTGGGAATTGGACATCTAATGATACTCACCGAGTCATCATCATAGTCTCTTGTCAAACAGGAGAGAAAACACAAAATATCCATGAATGTCACCATTAAAATAGTTAAGGAAAACAACACAAGCCAAGGAAGTTACAATTGCGAACATACCCTCAGCAATATCCAACCACTTCAAATACAAAAGCAACAAGAAATCAACACAATTCAACAAATTCAACAGTAAACTATAATGATACAGCCCAATAGAGGCATAACAGTGATACATTCATGCTTTTCAAACAGCCACCATAACAACAATCAAGAAGACAACAAGAAGATTAGTGATTACAACCACGATTCAAAAAACCCTAGAAAAATTATCAAGATCACCTCTGTATAAACCAACAAGAACAAAATCAATTGTATCTAAACAAAAACTTCATAAAGCTAGTACAATAACATATCACATTAACAACCATACGCATATTCTGAACACACAAAAAAAACCCTAATCTAGCAACGAAAAATTTACACAACAAAAACAAACAACAAAAACAAACAAGGAAGTCCAATAAACAATTCAACAAAAACAGAATCTCATATACGAGAGAATAATCGTCACAAAAAAAAGACTCACCAATATGAGATCAAACAGGGTGACCTGATCAACCTTAACAAAGTCAGCATCCCAAGCTTTAAGCTCATCTTCACTAGGCTTATCATCAGCAGCCGCAGCATCAACATGTTTCTTGCAGAATTCAATGACCTTAGCCAAAATCTTGCTAGTGACATTCGGAAGAGGGATTCCACTATCAGCACAATCATCTTCAATCATGTGTTTGATGGTTTGCGATTCCAAAGCAACAGCTTCGTCAACCTCAAATGCCTCTCCATCAGAACTCTTAAGAGTGATCTTCTTTGTTGAAGCCATGGCGATTGAAGTTCGATTTTGAGAAATTTTCCGAAAAGTAAAAACCCTAACCCCCAATTTGTTTCTTTTCTCGAGTTGAAAAATGGTAGCTGTGATAAAAAAGAAAGGGCGTGAATGCTTTATTTATAGTGGTGTTAAGAATTGCAATAGGTTATTACTATTTTTTTTAATTATTATTATTATTATTATTATTATTATTATTATTATCATTATTATTATTATTAGCATTAGGGTTCAGCCTAGAAAAATAAATGTATATATATTTTTTTAACTAAATTTTGTAATTAATTTTTAATGGTAGTTGAAATGGAATTGGAGGCCATATTTATTTATTTAATAAAAAATAAAAAATAATCTATTAATTTATAAATTGTTATAAAGATATATATATATATATATATATATATATATATATATATATATATATATATATATATATATATATATATATATATATATATATATATATATATATATATATATATATATATATATATATATATATATATATATATATATATATATATATATATATATATATATATATATATATATATTAAGAATAATTATTGCAAACAGTGAAAACTTAGAAAGAAAATTAACACCTTAAAACAAATTTTAAATTTTTGTAGACCAATAAGTACACAATTAATCTTCACTAAAATTAATATATATATATATATATATATATATATATATATATATATATATATATATATATATATATATATATATATATATATATATATATATATATATATATATATATATATATATATATATATTTGTGGAGTGAAATAAGATGTCAAGTGTTCCGTTACAATTATTTTTTGTCAAAATAATTTGTAACGCCTAGCCATTTACGTATCTTTGTCAAACTCTCCCATTTTTCTTATATATACAAAGCTGAAAGCAAACAAAAAATATGATAAATACATAATTGAATAGTATTTTACATGAACAAATTGGTTTTAGGGTAAGTGTCTCACCCAACTTGAAAAATTATGTCACTACATTTAGAAAAGTATCCTATGATCCTGACTTTTCCAGAATTGTCTCATTAGCTTGTCGTAGCATTTCTATGTGGTAGCATTCCCATTATTGTTTTGGATATATGTGCTCCCTCACTTCCTTCTTATATAACACTTTTCATTTTACTTACAATTCAAATAAATTTAAACTCATTTTTATCTTCACCCTGTTTCAACATTTGATCACAGTTCATTCTTTTTCTCTCATTTCCTTAACCTCTCTCCTCTTTATGACAAATCAATAATAATAATAAAATTGAAAAGATACAAAATCAAATTTAAAAAGGATTGTTGAGACAATTTCTCTACATAGACAACTTTCTCTTTGACTCTTTCTCTCTCGACTTGAATAGCATTCCCAGTCACAAAAATTATACATAATAAAAAGAATAAGTCAATAAATTAAAACTACAAAAATGTAAGACATATTCGAAACTAAATGGAACAAACATATACAAATTTCAACACAAAAACAATCAATTAAAATACCCTGACATAAGAAGAACGAAAATCATGATAGAGATTGCAACCGTAATATAGAAGACAAAAAAAAGGAGGAAAAAAAAAGAGATGTGAGAAGAATTGGAAGTTCCATAAACCTTGGCAACATGAGCGCTCTTATAAATTTTCATTTGTAAAAATTGGTTATGTTTAATCCAGAGAGAAAATTGTCCATTGGATCTTTGTTTTACTTTATGACATTTCTCTTTTTTATAAATTTCTGATAGTTATTGTATGTCTATCTCTTCCACATTAACCTTTAGGTGGTTATTGTATGTGGAAGTTACTTAAACTAATTCTTTGAATTGTAAAATATAATATGTTGATTGATTGAAAATATGTTTCATCTCTCTTCAAGAATAAAAAGATCATTGATCAAAATTAAAAAAATAAAAAAATTATAGAATGGAAAAAAATTAATAAAAAAAATAGTATGTTGATTGAGAAAGAGATGGAATTTAAAAAAAGAAATAGAAGATGTTTCTTAACTTGTGTCACAATTGACAGTTAATGGAAGTTATAGATGTAAGTTTTTTTTTTAGAGATAGAAGTTAACTATTCAATTGGTAACCAACAAAAGTTACCAACTACTCAAGTTATTTATAAAAAAGATAAAGGGCAATTTTGGGAAAAAAAATAGGCCACGCGAAAAACTTGTATCCCTTTTATATATAGTTATAGACTAGAACCTCCTTGAATCTTTCCTCTTTTCAAACCTTCTTCAATTCTTTCACCAACAATCACCATGTCTAGGAATCTTGAAGACACAATACTGATTAGAATTTCATAGTATTTTCCTTGTAAGGTACCCATAAAAATATCAATCAATTCACGTTCGACCAGCGATGGACCTGCATCTAACTCCTTCTAACATTGTGCATACTCTTCAAAGGACTCATTATCTTTTTGAGCCATACTCTAGAGTTGAGTAAGGTTTGGAGCTAGGTAAGTGTTGTATTTGTATTTCTTAACAAAAGCTTCAGCTAACTCAGCCTAAGTACGCACACTATTGGGTTCCAGTTACATGTACCATTCTAGCCACGCTCCAAACAGGCTGTCTTAGAAGCATTGGATCATCACCTTATCATCCCTAGCATACACATCCATCTTTCGACAATACATCTTTAGATGAATGTTAGGATTGTTGAGGCCCTTATATTTTTCTACATCTGGCACTAGACGCATCTCCAAGGCATTCAGAAAGGATGGGTTATGCCCTTCCATGATTCAGATTTTCTCAGCTAAAGTATGACACATCTTGATGGCTTTAGAATCTTGAGCAGCATGAGGACACATAATGGGGACATCCTTATGATGATTTTCCATGTCATACTAATCTTGTATCTTTTCTTTAGCACGACGAATAGGAATTTGAATAACAGTAGGTTGAACTTGTGGGATAGCTCCAACAGTAACCCCAAATGTTGGAATTGGTTGAGTAGTGGCTCCTTCAACTGCAGGAGTGAAGTTTAGAGACATTCCATAAATGATGGGGTTGGGAATAGGAACTGAAAGCCTTGAGGTAGATCCTTGCACATGAACGTTGTTGTTTGCGGCAGCAGTATCACGCAATTCATCTTGCTTTCTGGCCATAACAGTTATGGCTTCGAGAATCTGGTTAATCTTGCCCTTGATAGAGTCCAACTCCTCTCTAAAGGAGGCTTGCTCTTCTTGAATCTGGTCCATCATTCGTTTGGTGTTGGCTCAAGTAACGTACTGGTGTCGGGGAATCAGCTTGATTTAATGAAGATGAAGGAAGATGAAATGAGTTTCTAGTTTTGGAATGAGATGTAAGATGCACAATTGATGCATATGTAAGATGAAATGATATGCATGGATGTAATGCTAAAATACAAGATCCAGGATCACAGGATCACCACGTTCTCGGGTCAGTAAAAATAGTGGGTATATAAAGGATATCTCCGATTAAAGGGACACCTTATGTAGGCTCTAAAATGGGTAAGTGATTGGTATCACCGATCAAAGGAAACCCATGGGTAGGCTTTAAACAGGTAGGCTCCTAGAGTCATGGATTCCTATCAAAGATATTATCTCCATGGCGAAGGATCATTAGACAATAATATCCTTGAAATGATCTCTTATAGGTGAGGTTTACGTATCTTCCCACGAGGAAGACACCTCGTAGGCTTCTATTACAAAACCATCGACACAAGGTTTCTAAAACAGGATTCTCAAAGTCATAGATCGAGATTGAACCCATTACTGTCAACTAGTAATACACTCAAGGGATCTCATCTGATTGAGATTTTGTATTAACCCAACGAGCCCAGAGGTCTCGCAGGTTAACACTACATAACCACCATGGATAGAATGGGTTAAAGGTCCTTATAGTCAATGATTCATGCTTGAAAATATTATCACCGTGATGAAGGTTCATCAAAACAATAACATTTCCAAAATAATCTACTCTAAGCGGGGTTTTTATATCGTTTTCACAAGGAAGACTCCTAGCAAGTCTCTACTACACAACTGCCATCCAAAGCTTGTATTTATTTTCATGCTCGGGTATAAAGTATCTCACAAAGCCCGACATCATAATAATAATATAGAAAAATAATATAAGCAAATAATAAAACAAATAAACAATAAAATAAACAAGAAGAAATCACACAAACAAAAGAGAAGGCAACTAAGTTAAGTTAACACTCCTCACAAATTAACCTAAGTTAAGCTCGACTCTCTCTTGCATTGAGCAATTATGGTTCCCCAGCAGAGTCGCCATCTGCCGTACCTCGATAAATACGATCCTCGTGATGGTCACGGAAAAACATGTTTGAACAGAGTCACCACCGAACTTTGATTTATTCCAATAAAGGAAAATGAAAATATTGACAAAACCTTTTAAGGAAAGGAAAATGGTCATCGCAACCATTTATGGGTTCGGGAGTCGGTTATGCAAGGGGAAGATATTAGCAACCCCTCACGTCCGTTGTACTCAACGGGAACCTCTTAGTCTAATTTGTGATTTTGAATGTTAACTAATGCTAATTGTTTTCTTTGAATAATAAACGATAAGAAGAGAAAGGGTTGCAAAATCTATCTAAGGTTACTTTGTTAAAGAAACTCGGTGGTTTTTTTTATTTATTAGGGTACACGCCAAGGATGGAGGCCTTTGTGCTTACGTATTCCCTCGTGCAATGGGAATGTCAGAGAAATCGTAGTTCGGCACTACGGTTTGTTAGTGTGTTTTATAGATGTCAATCGCTCGAATACGAGAAAGAAATCTCGTACCTCAACAATTAAAAGAGAGGAATGAAAGACTTCAAATACCTCTATTTCGTCTCCAGGGAAATAAAATTAAGATATGACTATGTGTTTTAAAGATGATGAATGCGTTGAGCAACGACGAAGATTCATCGTACCCTAGGTGCTCGAGCAGAAAAATGGAAGATCCTATTCCCCTTTTGTTTCGTTCATTTAATTGTAAAAGATTTGAATTTGATCGGA